AACGGAATCATCAAAAAGTCAAAGAAATCATCAAAAAGTCATAAAGGAATCGTCAAAAAGTCAAAGAAATCATCAAAAAGTCATAAAGGAATCGTCAAAAAGTCAAAGAAATCATCAAAAAGTCAAAGAAATCATCAAAAAGTCATAAAGGTATCTTCAAAAAGTCATAAAGGAATCATCAAAAAGTCATAACGGAATCATCAAAAAGTCAAAGAAATCATCAAAAAGTCATAAAGGTATCTTCAAAAAGTCATAAAGGAATCATCAAAAAGTCATAACGGAATCATCAAAAAGTCATAAAGGAATCATCAAAAAGTCATAACGGAGTCATCAAAAAGTCATAACGGAGTCATCAAAAAGTCATAAAGGAATCATCAAAAAGTCAAAGAAATCATCAAAAAGTCATAAAGGAATCATCAAAAAGTCAAAGAAATCATCAAAAAGTCATACAGGAATCATCAAAAAGTCAAAGAAATCATCAAAAAGTCATAACGGAATCATCAAAAAGTCAAAGAAATCATCAAAAGTCATAAAGGTATCTTCAAAAAGTCATAAAGGAATCATCAAAAAGTCATAACGGAATCATCAAAAAGTCATAAAGGAATCATCAAAAAGTCATAACGGAGTCATCAAAAAGTCATAAAGGAATCATCAAAAAGTCAAAGAAATCATCAAAAAGTCATAAAGGAATCGTCAAAAAGTCATAACGGAATCATCAAAAAGTCAAAGAAATCATCAAAAAGAATCATTGAAATCATCAAAAAGTCATAACGGAATCATCAAAAAGTCAAAGAAATCATCAAAAAGTCATAAAGGTATCATCAAAAAGTCATAAAGGAATCATCAAAAAGTCATAAAGGAATCATCAAAAAGTCATAACGGAATCATCAAAAAGTCATAAAGGAATCATCAAAAAGTCATAAAGGAATCATCAAAAAGTCATACAGGAATCATCAAAAAGAATAATTGATCATTAGGTTGTTTGCATCAATGAACAAGTTGTATTCAACAAGACTCAAGCTTGATACCCTAATATGATTGAGTGGAGATAAAAAAGAAGAGGACCAAGACTCAACCTCAAGAAGATGAGAGAAGTAATCTTGGACAGAATAAAGCAGCAGAAGACTGGTGATGGGAGCGTTGGAAATAATCTCGCAACCGGAGTCCTCCATGTAGCCACTGCATGCGACATCTTCCTGTCGCCATCTTGTGACCTCACCGCAGCCGCTCCTAAAGGTTATCTATGTTTACTTTCTTCTTTCTTATTTAGTTATCATATTTTAACCCTTACCTGGTTTATGTTACAGACTTGAGTTTGTTTGTTTTACAGACATGATAAAGTCACAATTTGAATTATAGATTATAAACACAAGGTAATAAGACCAAATCCAAATAAATAGTGTGTGACGTTTTGGTAACAACGCTGTAACCGACACACACTATTTATTTATTTGGTCTTATTACCTTGTGTTTCACAGACTTGTCATATTTTATCATCATGATCATTGTATAGTGTGTTTGTTTGTTTTACAGACTGTTTTGTCACATCATCATTGTATAGTGTGCTATCTAAGGTTTGATGTTATGGAATGCCATTTTATTCCTTTCTGAGCAATTTCGCTTCACCTTTATAATTCCAGACTTTTCTATTAGGCAATCAAACCAATCCT